GGCAAGAGTACCAAAATTAAATGATGGAGCTTCAAAACGTTCATGGGAAATCCCATTATCATTTCATTCTATTTTTACACAAGTGTTTTGAAGTCCCCTTGTACGTGGACAAACACCATCTCTGATCCCAGAGCATTAACAGACTGAAAAACTGTACAAAAATATACCTGCTGTGTACCCTACCTCAAATCAAGAACAGAAAGAGGAGTGGGAGCCGGGAGATGGTTGGAAGGAATATTGCAGAGAGAATAACAGGAATAGCTTTCAAGGCTGATGGGGTAAAACAGAGCATTCCAGGTAACGAACAAGCTAAGTATGGTGGGGATTTAGGGACTGGTGATCCCCCTGGGAAAAGAGACTGACTGGCATGTACAAACTAGATGGACAAACTCAAAGACTGCATGAGCAGTGAGCAGGCCAGGGGCCCATCCCAAAGGATGAGGTCAAGGAGCTTGAAGTAGATAGCATTAGAAGCATTTAGGAGGTACAGGGAGAGGATATGATTAAGTGGATATTGGGATAAGGGTAAGAATTGGGTCCCAGGTCTCTGGCTGGGTAAGACTTTTCACAGAAATAAGGAACAGTGCCTCCCAACCTACAACAGTCGGCACTCACTGTTGGCGATGGAGACTGTGGTAATTAGGCTTATCATGCCAACTAGGCCAATAGGAACGTGTGGGCAGAGTTTAATGAGGTCGAAGGGCAATGAGATAAATGGCTCTGCAAGGCCCTCCGCTCCCTGGTCATTGGACCAGTGTGCTGCTGCCTTAGCTAGTTTCCTGCCTCAACCTGTGTGCTACACTACCTGTGGTCCAAGCCAACCTGTGGATCCTGTGGCTAAGCTTGAGGTTCCTTTGAGACCTGTTTCACCACACTGCTGTGCATACATCGCTTGAGCTTGAGGCTGGTGTATCCTGTTGGCATGCATTGCTTGAGCTCTAGATCCGATTAGGGCCTGCCGCAATAACCTCCTGAGCTGCTGACTGTTGCTGACCCACCCTGCTGTCTTGGGCAGACCCCGCCTTGCCTGAAGATGTGGATGTCTGCTTCCTTGACCTTGGACCTGGCAGTCCACGTGAGTCAAAGGACTTTCGTATATTAACTGTTCCACAAAAGTGAGTTGAACTGAGACCTAAGTGCTGCTCTGTGGACTAATTAGCTGTTATATTCCTTCTCGCTGTATAAACCTGTCCTCTTATATAATCATAAGTATCCTGATTTTGTTTCTTTAGGGACCCCTGCCTAACACAGAGAGTAGGGCATGGGCATCTCTGCTGATATAAGAGGTGACAATCAGTACCCCTGTTAGAACCTCTTGGTTCCTTAGTAGAAAGGGGGGAGATCTGACTACCGTTCTTATGCTGTTTCTTCTTACCCACACCATCATCTGCCTCCGAATTCCTGTTCTCCGCAGCCTCATACTCTCTCTCTTACCTCATTGTGACAGTCAACTGTTTCCATAATGTTTCTCATCCCTTGGTAATCCTATCAAGACGTATTCACGTGTTGTTTTGGAGAATGAAGGAAGTGTACTTAGACAGAAAATCACTGGAATAAAACCATGGAAACTTTAAAGTCCAAGTACAAAAGGGGTAAATGAGTTTGGGAGCAGAGTATTTAAAGAGGGGGTTTGAATTGTTTGAACTGTCATTGACTATTGTTCTGGTAGTAACTTTAAATAAGGGTAAACTCATAAATGGACTGATAATAATTTAACCATTTGGGGGAAGGATTGATAACAGATTGATTCGTTGTAGAGGGGGGTGGGTCGAGGCAAAACTACAAATGCTGTGAATACTGTAGTGGATACATGAAGGTTGCCATGGGGTATTCTGTACAATATTTCAAGATTTAAAAAGACAATTGGGCTTTTATTATTATGATACTTTCCATATCAGAAGCTTGTGTGAACCAAACCAAATGCAAAAATATTAATGAGCATGCTGATTTGCTGGTACTCATGCCTTATGTGGGTTTGGGCAGTTTCTATTAAGCATCCCAGGGACTCTTGTTAATGTGGA